GTTTTGTGGTGGGCGGGGGTGGGGCACCCCGGCGGCGGGGGTCCGGGGGTCGAACCCCTACCCCGGCTTTGCCCCCGAAGGCCCCCGCCTGACAACCCTGACGGGCGGGTTGGGTGCGGGCGGAAATTTTCAAAAAAACACTCGGGTGGGTTGGGTCGCCTTGAGATTTTTTGTTTTTTATTTTTTGAGGGCGGGCGGTGCTTAAAAAATTATGGGCGGGTTGGGTGAAGTGTTAATTCCAAAAAAAAATGTTCATCTCTGGCGATTGCCATAGCGGTGTTCTTGAGAAAGTATGCCGAGGAAATCACTCCGGAGACAACCTTCTTGAAGCGTAAGTGTGCGTGTATGGGTGACGACCAAATATCGAATGTCGGTGTTTCCTATGAAATTTGGAAAGAAGACATGGAAATGAAGCTGAGCGAGGATAAAACGTAGGCGCTGATCGTGATTGGCATTGAGGGCGATATTGCTGTTCATCATGATTGGCAAATAGGGCGCACTGATTGGAGCTTTTTTTTGCGCTGTAGTATGCTTTTCGTAAGTGACATGGGATGAGGCAGCTGCCCTTCAGGTCAGTCAGGAGCGCTGCTTGACCGTTGAAGAGGTGTCGTTTGTGCAAGTTTACGTTGTTGCTCATCACGTTGGGGATGGGCGCTGATGATGCTCGTCCAATTGGCAGACGGGGGATACTTTTCGAATGTTTATTTGTGTTGGCGCTATTCGTGAGCGGCATTGGGGGGTGATACTGCTGTTCATCATGGTGACCGATGGGGTGCACTGATCGTGGCTTATCATGAGTCGTAGTGTGCTTTTCGTGTGGGGAATGGGAAGTGGCAGATGCACATCAGGTCGCTCAGGAGCATTGATCGTGCGCTGAAGAGATGACGAGTTTACGTTGCTGATCATCACGTGGGGGCTGGGCGTTGATGCTGCTCATCCAATCGGCAAGACGGGGGATACTGATCGGATGCTCATTGAGTCGGCGAGGCTTGTGAGTGGCATTGGGGGGCGCTAATGCTGTGCATCATGGTCACAGATAAGGTGCACTGATCAGGGCTTATCATGAGCCGTAGTGTGCTTTTTAGTGGGGGGCACAGGGAGTGGCAACTTCCCATCGGGTCGGTCGGAAGCGCTGCTCGTTTGCTGATGGGATGCCGATTCTGTAAGGTTACGCCGATGATTGTCACATAGGGGCTGGGCGCTGATGCTGATCATCCAAATGGCAGACGGGGGATACTGTTCGGATGCTCATTGTGTTGGCGCGGCTCGTGAGCGGCATTGGGGGGATACTACTCAGTAAAGTGGTATTTAAC